GAAGGGCGTGCAAAATAACAGCAAGGGAGCAGAGCAATGGAGTCCTCAAGGAATACCAAAAATAGACATTGGGGCCAGGACATAGCACCCCATCAAACTTAAACGGAAAACACTCCTAAAGGTCAGCAAACAGACCTTTAACTATCTACAAAACTTTTGTCGTTGGTTTTTCTGTTGTTTTGTTTTCTTTTGTTGCTTTGTTTCACTGTCTTGTTTTCTGTGCAAATTATTATCTCTGCAGGTCTAGCTAGGTAAGATAGGTGGGATAAATAATCTGGAGGAGAAAACAAAACAACGGGACCAACGGTTCTGGGGGGACATGAGAAAGGGGGAGGTGGGGGAAAGGAAGTGGCACAAGTACAGGGACAAAGGAACAACAAGTGATCCCAAATTGATGGCAAAGAGGGTATAGGAGGTCTGGTAGGGTTTGATCAAGGGCAATGTCACCAAGAGGAATTACTGAAACCCAAATGAAGGCTGAACATGATAGTGGGACAAGAGGAAAGTAAAAGGAAATAAAGGAAAGAACTAGGAGGCAAAGGTCATTTGTAGAGGTCTAAATACAGGCATGTACATATGTAAATATATTTACATATGATGATGGGTAAATAGATCTACATGCACATATTTATAAGTTTAGTTTTAAGGTAGCAGATGGCCATTGGGCCTCTACTCAAGTACTCGCTCAATACAAGAACATTTTGTTTTATTAAACTGGCATTCCATGATACTCACTTTAATGACAAAAGTGTGCATGAGCAAATGCGGTGAAAAAAGCTGATGGTGCCCGGCTATCAAAAGATATAGTGTCTGGGGTCTTAAAGATAAACAAGCGGTCATCTAGCTCAGAAGCAACAAAGCCCACATGGGGGAAACACACCAGCCTGTATAATCATGTGTCAAAGGGATCAGGTATCAGAACAAAAAAATATCATTGTGAATGAGGGGGAGTGCGGAATGGAGACCCAAAGCCCATCTGTAGGCAACTGGATATCCCCTGATAGAAGGGTCACAGGGAGGAGACGAGCCAGTCAAGGTGCAATGTAGCAACAATGAAACATACAACTTTCCTCTAGTTTTTTAATGCTTCCTCCTCCCACTATCATGATCCCAATTCTATCTCACAAATCCCGCTAGAGCAGAGGATGAACACTGGTACAAATAAGAGCTGGAAACACCGGCAATCCAGGACAGATAAAGCCTTCAGGACCAATAATGAGAGTAGCGGTAACAGGAGGTTAAGGGAAAGGTGGGGATAAAAAAGGGGAACCGATTATAAGGATCTACATATAACCTCCTACCTGGCGGACAGACAACAGAAAAGAAGGTGAAGGGAGACGTTGGACAGTGTAAGACATGAAAAAAGTAATAATAATTTATAAATTACCACGGTTTCGTGATGGAGGGAAAAAATGAGCTTATACCAAAGGCTCAAGTAGAAAGAAAATGTTTTGAGAAGGATGAGGGCAACAAATGTACAAATGTGCGTAATACAATGCATGGGTGTATGGATTGTGATTAAGAGTTGTAGGAGCCCCCAATAAAATGATTTTTTTAAGTTTTAGCAGTTTTTATCTTCTGTTTATCTTCTCTTTTTACATTAGATATAACATATTCCTTAAACCTTTTCAGTTTGAAGTGACAAAAAGAATGTTTACTAGTAAAAGTTGAAGCTAACCAGCACAAGCATAACAGTCATGCACTAAGCCTAACTTACATACACATGATTTATAAATAAGCCGAATTAGCCAAAGATGATCACAGATATATCAATATACAAGCCAATGGAGTATAATCCACAATTTCGCACTCCCTCAAACTATTGTATTTTCCCTTACGTGCTTCAGACTGACTCCAGGTAAAATTGCTTATGTAATGGGTAAATTATCACTTTTCGACGTTGTTTTCCTGGTTAACTGTGCAAGAAGTGACACCAATGATCACTTTTGCTGCCATCCTCTCCTTTCTCAGTTCCTGTAACATCATTCTTTTTGTTCTAAAATTCTCATTATATCTAGCAAATGATGTCTCACCTTCCTCTAGTTTCCCTCTCTGTTTATTTTTATTCTAAGTTGAATGGCTTTCTTATCCATTGCTTTAATTGCAGCTTATCCACCACTGGTGCCAAACAGGAAGGATATTACCTTATACCAAATGGATCAAATTGAAAACTGGAACATCACACTAGAGCCTTTTCTCACACCCTATAAACGACCTGACCCTAAATTCTGTTGATTTCAGGTTCCACCATGGGAAACCCCAGCCACCACATCATCATCTAAAATTTGGACTTCAATAGCATTCTAATCAGTCTTACTGTCCACTCTAAAGCATCCTCCACTACATCACCAAGCTGTATTTCTAATTTTATTATCAGAAACTTAATGACTGTTTTTAATTGTTAACAAATTATCATTTTTATTTTATTGTTTTAATAGTTTTATTAGGGGCTCATACAACTCTTATCATAATCCATACATACATCAATTGTGTAAAGCACATTTGTACATTCATTGCCATCATTCTCAAAACATTTGCTTTCCACCTGAGCCCCTGGCATCAACTCATTTTGCCCCTTCCTCCCCACTACCCCTCACTCGTGAACCCTTGATAATTTATAAGTTATTATTTTGTTATATCTTTCCCTATCCGACATCTCCCTTCACCCACTTTTCTGTGGTCCGCCCCCCAGGGCAGAACCTTAATTACTTTCAATGAAAAATCTCACAATATTATCTTTTATCCTTCAATACCAAACCTTCCCCCCACCCCTTTATCATGTCTCCTTTAACTGTCTATAAAGTCTCAATTCTTCAGGTGACATATTTTGCTTCTTACTAACCTAAGTACCTCATGCACATCTTTATATATGAAATTTAAATCCTGCAATGTCTATTATTAAACCTTTTGAGGGAAGACAATATACTTTTATTTTTTGTCCCACTGTGCATAATACTAGTAAGTAGGGCACCAGTAATTGTTAAATGGATAAAAACAATATAGGGGCAGAAGTCCATAGAACATGGAAACATCAAGGACAAGATTAAAAAAAAAAACAATGAAAGTAGTACACAAGATAACCACACGGTTTATTGTTGCAAGTTTAGAACAATAATGAAAAATTGATTTACTGAAAGATAAAACTAAGATTAACACTGAGCTGACAAAAATGAGTATATTTCTAATAAAACAAAGTGGGTTGAGGCTAATAATGTGGCATCAGTGGGTTTTAGAAAATCTATGCAGGTCAAGTTAGTTTATCACTTTATTAAGAAATTTTCTCACTAAGCCCTTGGCTGCTTTGACTTTTATTACTTTCAAATTTCTTTTCGGGAGTAAACAATGAAGGTGGGGAGGGGGCACCAGAACTGACTGTGATTGCAAAACTCATGTTAAAGTCAATTTATCCAATTGGATTTGGGGGTGGGGGAGATATCCTCTAAGACTGATGTGGTGGTGACTGTTCAATGACCCTTGATATGACTGACGATCGAACTATTAAATTGTACAATACATAAATTATGTGCCAATAAAACTATTAGGGAAGAAAAAATTCCAGTACTCAACACAAATATACCTTTCTGCACAGCAAATTTCCAGGGTTGATTACACAATTTGTTTGTGAATTATGCCTTTGTTTACCCACCTGAGACCATTTGGGTAGCCTGAGGTTATGAAAATGGCATTGGACAGGGAAATTAAACCATCTGAGATTTCATTTCAAGTTTATGTGTGTTTATTTCTCCAAATTTTTCCCTCCTCCAAAAAAGAACCCCCGTGCTTTGTGTGTGTGTGTGTGGGTTG